TAGAAAGTTTTAAATCATTATTTTTGATGAATGCCTCATTGGAAGGATCGTTTACTGATGCAAATTTGTTGTGTAATTAGTATGTTTCCTTTGACTTATCTTTGTGTCTGGGACAAGAATTTGTTAAGATTGGCACCATAAAATCTGCTGTGCTATTTGGACATCACCACTCAAACTCCAGAGCAGACACCAGAGGGGCTTCCCTAGGTAGGAAGAAAAGTAAGTGTGAGTGTTGGGTTGCTTCTGTCTTGGGGGAACTTGAAGTTGAGCCAGATGGCATATTAGCATAATTCAGTGATACCCAGTGGCATTTTTACAGGGCTTAGAGGTGCCTCCATTAGTGATGTCTGAAAGGTGGTTAGAGGGATCTTACATAAGAGTACATATGTTTACCTGTCTTAGTCAGGGGTACTGTTGCTGTGAAGACACACCGTAACCAAGAAGCAAGTTGGGGAGGAAAGGGTTTGTTTGTCTTATACTTACACATTGCTGTTCATTATCAAAGGAAGTCAGGATAGGAACTCAAACAGGGCAGGAACCTGGAGGCAGAAGTCATGGAAGAATGCTGCTTACTGGCTTGCGCCACGTGACTTGCTCAGTTTGTTTTCTTATAGAACCCATGACCACCAGCCCTGGGATGGTACCACCCTGCATGGGCTGGACCCTTCCCTACTGATTAGTAATTGAGAAAATGCATCACTGCTGGATCTCATGAAGGCATTTCCTCAGCTGAGGCTACTTCCTCTGATGACTCTAGCTTGTGTCAAGTTGACACACAAAGCCAGCCATTATAGTGCCTTCAGGTCATTTCAGGAGGTAAACTTGTTTATGTTCTATGATGCTTACTAGTGGGAATATTTTTAAATACTGTATGTAAGGAAAGCTCCTTTATTGTTTAGGTGCTAATGAGTGAATGGGATATTCACATGTTAAGACAAACTCTCCTACCTCTGAGAGGAACTACTTGAAGGTAGCTGCTTTGTTGAGGAAGTTGCAGGAAGAATTCCTCTTGAAGGGTCTTTTCATAGCACCCATTTCTGGATTCTATGCAGATCAGTACTAGTAGCATCTCCTCAACACTCACATGTTATTTATGTAGTTTGAGGATGCGCCATTCCCCTTAGTAAAGGTTCAGGTTAGTTTTATTAGAAACAGATAATAGAAATAGAGGGGAGGATCCCCAGTATCAACTCTTTTAAAATAGATTTGCTTATTTTGTGTGCATGAATGTCTTGACTGCATGTATGTATGTGCACATCTGGTGCCTGCAGAGACCAAAAGATGGGTTACAGGAGACTATGAACCACTGTGTAGGTGCTGGGACCTGAACGCAGGTCCTCTGTAAGAGCAGCAAATACTTTTACCCACTAAGCCATCTCTTTATCCCCAGCCCTGTAGCAACTCTTAATGTTACCAGAATATATACTATTTAAATTATTTAGCTTTTTTTTTTTTTTTTTTTTTTTTTTTGGTTTTTCGAGACAGGGTTTCTCTGTGGCTTTGGAGGATGTCCTGGAACTCGCTTGGTAGTCCAGGCTGGTCTCGAACTCACAGAGATCCGCCTGCCTCTGCCTCCCGAGTGCTGGGATTAAAGGCGTACGCCACCAACGCCCGGAAATTATTTAGCTTTAAAACAAGGAACATTTGAGTTTTTAAGTCAATGTTCATAGATTCTGTTACCGTTTCCCAAACTAAGAACAGTCATCTAAAAGATATGGGCAAAGAGTGTATGAACTACATTATAGTGACACCGTCCAAAGGAGAGATGAGCCTACTCCATGGTCACTATTGATCTGGCCTGAAAGCAGCCTGTTGAGTCCCTTGGTGCTGCCATGATATTACCATAGACGGGGTAATTTATAAATAATAGATATTTATTTCTTACAGCTCTGAAGGCAGAGGTATTCAAGATCAAGACACAGCGGGTTTGATGTCTGGTGAGGGCTACTCTCTGTACTTCTAAAATGATTGCTACCTTCTCCTCCAAGGATGAACCTGTGAGGTTCCCACATCTCTGTTCGTGAAAGGCAGCAGGAATAAATGCCTAAGCTAGTCCAGCTAGTCCTTTTATAAGCCACTGCTTTCATGAGCTGAGAACCTATGTGATTTCTTCATTTCCCGAAGACCTACCACATAGAAGACCATATCCCCGCTATAATTTAATAAGAAGGGAACGATACTGGAGAAGACCCCTTGATTCCATGCCCAGCCATTCTGAGGTTGTCCAGTGTCTTCAGAATCCTATGGTAGTCTCCCTTTGTCCATTCAGCTGGTAACTCAGTTTTAGTTTTGGGGTTTTTGTAGGTCTGTTTCATGGTTTTTATTTCTACTCTTAAATGCCATTTGGATTATCTCCATTATGTAATTTAAAATGAATCAGAGTGAGGCTAAGTGTAGAAGCATGGTGTCAGTTACTGTCATATGTACATTTAATACAAGTTAAGATTATTTTGAAACTGGTGCATCTATCCTCTTCCATTTTAGATCTTGACAATAAAACAATTTTGGGCCACTCAGTTATTTAAATTGGCTGATCTTTAAAAAGTAGTAAAATTAATAGAGCAAAATTACCAGAGGTTAAACTGAAAACTTAGAATATAGCTTATAAAGGATGTAAGAAGAGGTTCCCATACAGGTTTGTTTTTATTTTGTTAACAGAAACATAGTTTCAGAATGACCACATTATTGAAAAGTGTTGCATAGTTAAGTAATTAAAGGGAAAAATGTTCACTTTGAGCTTATTAGCCAAAACACTGCTGTAAGTGTTGCCGAAGTGAAAAGTCACAAGCATTGTTGCTGGGTGTGGAAATTTTTCTGTGTCCCTGACAAGCAACTTTGCAGAATGTAACAATCTATAATATAAAGTGGGGGCTCCAAAGCCATCCTCAAATTAAGGAAAAGTGCCCACCTTTTCCTGTAAGGTATCATTTGTGTGTAAACTAATAAAAGATTGAAACAACCTAAATGGCTAATGTCAGATGATCAAATAATGTGTTACAGCTACTGTATAGACTCAGAAACTTGAAAAAGAATTATGTATTTCAGGAAACTGTTAGTTCTTTTTCTACTTGCTTAGAAGTCTTTGAAGCAATGTATTAGCAAGTTGGCAGTTGTGCTTTTCTGTGTTCACTTGGCATTTCAGACCAAGAAAAAGTCTTGGGAAAAACTGTTTTCAAAGGTCAGTAGATGAGCTAACTTCTAAGTAAGAACTGAGAGTAAATGGGATTATTAGTCTTCTTTTCATCAGTTTTAGTTTATTTCATCTCATAATTCAGTAGGGCACTTACTGAACTAGAGTTCTTAGTTTATGGATCTGAGTATTGAGTCAGCAGTACAAGTGAGCCTGCCTGATGCCCTCTGCCTCCCGCATCTCCATGGAGACAGGAAAGTTCTTTACTAGTCCAGAAGCCTTTGTTTTGTTGTTTCGATCCATAGTGACCAGGTTAAGTGTATGTTTCAAATGTTTTTTTTTTTGTTTGTTTTTTTTACGAGACAGAGTTTCTCTGTATTGTTTTGGAGGCTGTCGGTCCAGTCCTGCCTCGAACTCACAGAGATCTGCCTGCCTCTGCCTCCCGAGTGCTGGGATTAAAGGCATGCGCCACCACCGCCCGGCCATTTCAAATATTAGTAGGAAATCATTTCAGTAATGTTGATGTTCTAAATATTTTACTAAAGGTTAAGGTTGACATTTTTTCTTCTTAATACATTGAATTATTCGTATGTTCATTGACCTAACAAAAATGTAAACAAGAAAATTGACTAGTATTGAGGATACACATATATGTATCATACATATATATTTCAGAGTACTTATTTCTGTGACTAAGTCATACAATTATTTTGTAGTTTGTATGTTTTTTAAATCCAGTTTGAAGCATTTAATTTCTGATTAAATATTTTTAGTAACTGATAATTATGTTGATGTACCAGGAAGGAAAATTTTATGGAATATAATGAAATATGTAACACCACAGAAGAGTTGGCATAGGAAAAGGCCAGTTTTTTGTGTGTATTTCATGTATGGTTGTCCAAAGCTCTTTAGAATTTAGGATGGATAGATATTCTAAAAGAGTACATTTGGGGTTGAAAGGTCATGACCACATTTTAATTTTTTTCTCTTAAATCAAGAGATTGAAATAGAGGTGTAGAAGGGTCAAAGTTTTATTATAATCTACATGAAAATAATTTGTTGTCTGTCTTGGTTACTTACTGTTGCTGTAAAAAGACATCATACCCAGGCGACTTAATAACAGCAGATGTTTATGGGGGTTTACATTACCAGAGGGTTAGTCCATGACCATTGTGTCAGGGATTGTGGTAGCAGGCAGACATTTATACAGTAGCTGAGAACTTACATGTTGAGACAACAGCCAAGAGGCAGAAGGAAAGAGAGCTAACTGGAAATGGCATGAGACTTTGAAATCTCAAAGCCCTCCTCTGAAAAGGCCACACCCCCTAATCCTTTCCAAACAGTTCCACCCATTTGGAATCAGGATTCATATATATTAGTCTATGGGGGCCGTTCTCTTTCAAGCCACCACTCTGGCTGTTGATTTTTACAGCCTAGGTGAGAAATTAGTATTAAAATAGCATTCTCTGGAAATTGTGCTATTATATGTTATAGAGTGTTGTCAATTTTTACTTTTGTGTCTGGGAATTCAACTTAAGGCCTCACACGTGCAAGGCAAGCCTACTACCGACTAACTAAGCTATGTCCCAGCCCTTAGATAATTGTTAAAATGATTTTTTAGTCTATCTTAAAAATGTCTACTGTTTCACAAAATGATCCTCAAATAAGAGATAATATAGAAAACAGCAGTTTAGTGTGGTGAACTTGGAAAATGAAACTTCCCTGACTTTAAGAAACTGGCTTAATTGAAGACTGAATAGCTAAGATTGCGTTATTCAAGTGATCCTGAGTCAGAGCTGCCCGGAACGTTGTCCTTGTCTCCAGCATGTGCTCTCTGCTGCCTTCTCAGTGTGTGTGTTGTCTTGAACAGGTTGGCTCAAAGCTAATCCCCTGTCACAAACTGGTGCTGGCTTGTGTGATCCCCTACTTCAGAGCCATGTTTCTTTCTGAAATGGCTGAAGCCAAGCAGGCACTGATTGAGATCCGAGACTTTGATGGGGATGCTATGGAGGACTTGGTAAAGTTCGTGTACTCCTCTCGGCTCACTTTGACAGTGGACAACGTCCAGCCTCTCCTGTACGCAGCATGTATCCTGCAGGTTGAACTGGTGGCCAGAGCTTGTTGTGAATACATGAAGTTACATTTTCATCCCTCCAACTGCCTGGCAGTACGAGCCTTTGCGGAGAGTCACAACAGAATAGACCTAATGGACATGGCGGACCAATATGCCTGCGAACACTTTACTGAAGTGGTGGAATGTGAAGACTTCGTGAGTGTGTCACCCCAGCATCTCCACAAGCTCCTGTCCTCCAGTGACCTCAATATTGACAGTGAAAAGCAGGTCTACAGTGCTGCTATCAAGTGGCTTCTTGCCAACCCCCAGCATCATTCTAAATGGCTGGATGAGACCCTTGCGCAGGTAGGGCTGAAGCAGGACTGTGTGGAGACGAGGTGACATGGAACCAAAGGCACATTATCTGAAGGGGGTAATGCTCAGCAGTTAGCTCTTCATGTCCTGTACAGTTCCTACACTAATGGTAATCTGGATTTGTTGTACTTGAAGGAAATTATTCATGTGAAATAGTAATGTATACTGTGTTAGGAAACAGCTCTGCCTGTAGCTTACATATTACTTTATAATGAAGTTTCTAAGTTTTGATGAATAATTTTCCTAGTGAGAGTGTAGTTATTCCTAGCAACTGTAGACCTATAGACCTATTCAAGAAAAAAAAAAAAAACATGTAGCATCACTGTGAATGCTGAATGCTGAAGTTTATTTTGAAACCTCCGAAATTGTCTGTTGTGGCTGTTAATGTTGTTAACCATACTGAGGTGCCTTGGATAAGGAAGTAACAAACAGGTCTTCCAGGGTCTGTGCCCTGGGTTCCCTTTTCCTCCCTCTGTCTCCTACCGTTCTCCCTCCACCTCCTCCTTGTTTTGTTTGTTTTGTTTGTTTTGTTTGCTGAGAAGTAAAATGAAACTACTTAGAAGAAGAGCAGTTCCAGTCACCTACCTTTTTCTGAAATCAATGCTTTGTTAAAACTTTGTAGTTGATAAAAGTCTGGGTCAGGGTAGGGATATAGCGCAGTGGATGGAACCCTTGCCTGCCACGAGTGAGGCCCTGGGCTGACCCTCAGCACAGCACAGCCAGACATGGTGATGCGTGTCTGTAATTGCAGCACCGAGGAGACAGGCAGGAGGAGCAGAGTTGGCAAGCATCCAAGTACACAGCAAGTTTGAGACCAGCCCGGCTGCATTAAAGTCTGTCTCAAAACAGAAGCAACTAAAAACATTGGGTATTTTATTCAGTTTATTGTCGTTTGGGGACAGAGTCTATCTAGCCCAAACTAGCCTGGTACTCACTCTGTTGCTTAGACTTGCTGGTCCTAAATTCATAATCTTTTTATCTCAGTGTCCCATATTCTGGGATTACAGACATGAGTCACCATGCTCAGTTATGCTCATATTTAATAAAAAATTTTAATGGTGTTATCAAAAGCAAAATTACTTATATTTTTACTCAGGAAGAAGACATACTCAAAGTGTGATTATAATTGGATTTTTTAAAGCATGTGTAGCAATTATTTTTCAACTTCTAACTTACTTCACATGTAACTTCATTATATTAGGTTCGTCTGCCATTATTGCCAGTTGATTTTCTTATGGGTGTTGTGGCAAAAGAACAGATTGTCAAGCAAAATCTAAAATGTAGAGATCTATTGGATGAAGCAAGGAACTATCACCTTCATTTGAGCAGCAAGCCCATCCCTGACTTTGAGTACACGGTCCGGACTACCCCAAGGAAGCATACAGCTGGTAAGTAAATTACTCATTTAAGTAACTTTCCAGAAAGAGCATTTGATGTAGGTGAGGGCTATTATTGGTTATGTGTGCTTAAACTTAATAGTCAGATAATTCCAGTCTGAGTGCCTTAAGGTAATAGTCAGTAGGGGTATGTGTGTGTGTGTTTGTGTATGTGATTTTTTTTGGTTTATTCGAGACAGGGTTTCCCTGTGTAGCTTTGGAGCCTGGAACTAGCTCTTGTAGACTCTGTGATCTGTAGTCACTCAGCACACATTGGATGCTGCTCTTGCAGACTCTGGGATAGGCTGTGGAAGTGTAGACATACCTCCTGCGTTGGGGGAAATGGTCTGGTGTAGGGAAAAGACAGATGAGCAGATAAATTCAGTAGAGTATTGCAGGTGTTTTGTGTGACCTCCAAGTGTAGGGTGCAAAGGATGGTGGTGACTACTTTGTGAGGGATAGGAAAAGTCTTAAAGAGAAAATAAAGTTCAGCTTTTGTTTTAAATAATAAACAGGGTACCCATTAGGGAAATGGCTCTTCAGCCCCTTTTACCTCCCCAGAGTACAGAGCACATGCCAGGCACCATCTAGTTAGTGTGTAATGCTCACTATAACAGTTGTACTCTAGTTTGGGGTGGCGGTTGTCAGCATGTGGATATTTTACTCATGTGTCAGTGAGTGATTGGTCCCAAAAGTGCTGTAGGAGCACCATGGATGGGCACGGGTGCATGTGCAGGAGCTTGAACTGCTGGTAGGGCTAGAATAGAGAGTGTTCATGCTGTGCTAATGGTGTAATGTGCTGGTGGCGATGAATCCCAGCCTTCAAACAAGCTTTCTCACCCTGAGTGTAGCTCAGCCTTCAAACAAGCATTCTCACCCTGAGTGTATCTCAGCCTTCAAACAAGCTTTCTCACCCTGAGTGTATCTCAGCCTTCAAACAAGCTTTCTCACCCTGAGTGTATCTCAGCCTTCAAATAAGCTTTCTCACCCTGAGTGTATCTCAGCCTTCAAACAAGCTTTCTCACCCTGAGTGTATCTCAGCCTTCAAACAAGCTTTCTCACCCTGAGTGTGTCTCAGCCTTCAAACAAGCTTTCTCACCCTGAGTGTATCTCAGCCTTCAAACAAGCTTTCTCACCCTGAGTGTGTCTCAGCCTTCAAACAAGCTTTCTCACCCTGAGTGTGTCTCTAGCCCCACGGCTTTACCTTGAAGGCACTCAGTGCTCCTCAGAGTGTGATGAAAATGGTCACTCCAGGAGCCTGTTAGAAATACAGTCCTTAAACCTTTACCCAGATGACTGAACTAGAGATCTGTGCTTTATACCTTCAGCTGATTATAAATCACATTAAAGTTGCTTTTTCCCAGTTGTGGTAAGTAGATATAAAATAAGACATTATTTTTACAGTTCAGAGCATTTGCTGAAATTTATAGGGTAATGCTTATAGGAAATAGTCTTTTATCAGATTGTTCTTGTTAGGGTTATATTGCTGTGAAGAGACACCATGACCATGACAACTTTTATAAAGGAAAACATAATTGGGGCTGGCTTACAGTTCAGAGGTTTTCTTTCTCCCTCTTTCTGCATTTGGCTTTCCAGCTTAGCTTTATTCAGCTATAGGCCAATTTAGCTTTTGTTATCAACTAATGAGAGCCACACATATTCACAGCATACAGAGAGGTCATCTCACGCCAGTTTAGCTCATCATGGCCAGGAGCGTGGCAGCACACAGCAGACATGGTGCTGGAGAAGTAGCTGAAATTCCACATCCAGGTTCACATGCAGTACAGAGAATGACACTCAGCCTGGGCTGAGCATTTGAAACCCCAATGCCCACCTCCCAGTGACACACTTCCACCAATAAGGCCACACCTACTCCAACAAGGCCACACCTCCTCATATTGTCAGTCCCTATGGGCCCGTGGGGGTCATCCTCGTTTAAATAACCACAGTTCTGTTGGCAGTCTGGAAGCTTGTAAGTGGTGAACGGCTGGATTTCACAACTCAGCCATAACTGGTGGATACTGCACCCAGACAGTGGCAGCTTGATAGGGACAGGTGGGACATGTTGGGAAAGGAAGGAAAGGAGGGAGGGAGGGAGGGAGGGAGGGAGGGAGGGAGGGAGGAAGGAAGGAAGGAAGGAAGGAAGGAAGGAAGGAAGGAAGGAAGGAAGGGAGGAAGGAGATGGCTCTGTACATGCTGTGTCTCTGGTCTGTAGGCCTCAGGTGGTAGTCTAGCTTAGGCAAGCTCATTGAAGATACCGTGATACAGTTTAACAGAGACGAACCTTTCCTAAGCATGTAAAAAGTGATGAGTAGGCAGCGCGTGGACCATGAAACAGGAAGGAGGCCTGGATGTCACAGGCACCAAAGACAGGAAATTTCCAAACAGGAAACGAATGTATTTAACTCTGTTTGTATTCAGTAGGGAAATGTTAGAGGTGACTGAGGCAGACAGCTCTGCAGTGACCGTATATGAATATACTTGTCCTTTTCCCTAAAGCAAAAGATGATTCTGACACTTGTAGTCAGTGAGAATATAAAAAAGGAGAGATAACTGATGAATCATGTTCTTTGAAGAGTTCAAGGAGAGGCGCAAAAAGAAAGCTAGATTTCATAACTCATCCTTAAAAAACAAACACTACTCAGAATTTGACAATGGTTTTCCATGCTCATTAAAAATAAAGCTAAGCACTGAGCCAAATCCTTGGAATCCAGTTGCAGAGAGGGAGGAGTGATGAGCAAAGGGGTCAAGACCAGGCTGGGGAAACCCACAGAAACAGTTGACCTGAACAAGGGGAGCTCATGGACCCCAGACTTACAGCTCAGAAACCAGCATAGGACAGAACCAGGCACTCTAAATTTGGGTGTCAGTTAGGAGACCTGGACAGTCTATGGGGCCTCTTGTAGTGGAACAGTATTTATCCCTAGTGTACAAATGGATATTGGGAACCCATTCCCTATGGAAGGATTACTCTCTCAGCCTAGACACACGGAGGAGGTCCTAGGCCCTGCCCCAAATGATGTGACATATTTTGATGATCCCCCATGAAAGGCCTCACCCTTTCTATGGAACAGAAGAGGGATGGGATGGGGGTCAGTGGGAGGCATAGCAGGATGGGAGGGAGAGGGAACTGGGATTGGTATATAAAATAAGATTGTTTCTAATTTAAATAAAAAAATAAAGCTTTAAAAGCCATGGTACTGATGTGTGTCTGTGGCTTTGCCTTCAGGTGTGCTGTTCTGTGTAGGTGGCCGAGGTGGATCTGGCGACCCCTTCCGCAGTATTGAATGCTATTCTATCAACAAAAACAGTTGGTTCTTTGGGCCAGAAATGAATAGTCGAAGGCGACATGTAGGTGTGATCTCTGTGGAAGGTGGGTCTGTTGCTGAAGTTGATATCGTAAAACCATGGTGCTTTGCTTAATTACATGAGCTTTGAGATTTTCTTTGTATAAGGAAACATTCATTATAAAGTAATTTATTGATGAAATATTTGAGTGGTGGTCATTTGCTTGCCTTTTTCCACAGATGCTTGGCATGTTAGTGTGGAAATTAGCATATTAGTATATACATTAGCAAATTGATATATAAAGTAGCATGTTGGTATATAAATTTAAAAATAAACAGCTGGAAAGTCAAATTCTTGTGGCTGGGAATGGTGGCACATACTTATAATCCCAGCATTTGGAGACCAAGGCAGCAGGATTTAAGTTCCAGGCCAGCCTGAGATACATGACAAGACCTTGTTTCCAATTGCCAGGGAATGGGAATGTGTCTCAGCGGCAGAACACTTGACTTATGCATGAAATGTCCTAGGATCAATTATAATATTTTAGTTCTAAATCTGTTTTAGTTTCTTATAAATTTTTCCAAGAGACGGTCCCTTGTGTCCTAGAGCTCACTGTGTACCTGAGGCTGAGCTTGAACTTGGGATCCTCCTGCTTCTACCTCTTGGGCTGGGATCGCAGGTGTGTACCAGCACATCTAGTTTACACAGTGCTGGAAGTTGACCCAGGGTTTCCTGTGTGATAGGCAAGAACTCTGTCAATGGAGCTTCATTCCCAGCTCCTAAGTTATTTTTTTTTTTACATATTTTAAGAGATCTTTTTTAAATTTGTTTATTCATTTTCAGTTTCCTGAGGCAGGGATTCTCTCATGTAGCCCTGGCTGTCCTAGAACCCACTCAGCAGACCAAACTGACCTTGAAGTCATAGAGATCTTCCTGCCTCTGCATCCTGAGTGCTGGGATTAAAGGTGGACACCACTACTGCCCAGCTATTTTTATTTTGTGTATGACTATCTATCTGCATGTGTGTATGTCTGCCATGTGTGTACCTAGTGCAAGAAGAGGCCAGAAGAGGGCATCAGATCCCACTGGAACTGGAGTTCCAGACAGTTTTAAGCCTCAGTGTGGTGCTGTTGGCTTGTCTGCAAGAGCACCAAGCACTCTTTTTTTTTTTTTTTTTTGAGTTTACGAGACAGGGTTTCTCTGTATTGTTTTGGAGGCTATCAGGCCAGCCCAGCCTCGAACTCACAGAGATCCGCCTGCCTCTGCCTCCCAAGTGCTGGGATTAAAGGCGTGTGCCACCACCGCCCGGCGTAGCACCAAGCACTCTTAACTGCTGAGCTATCCCCTAGCCTGTGTTTCCTGAAAAACTTGTCCTCATATAAAATGAGGAAAGGGTGATTCTTAAAATCTTTCTGATAATTTCTCTATGGTTGTTCAACTAATTAATTTTTAGTAATGATTTAAAATCTAGTTTCTGTAACTGTACACTGTAGGAAGACACTGAGGCTTTTCCTGAGGCTATAGCTTCAGGTGGTGACCACAGCCTTCTTAATATATATATATTATATATTTTAAGAAATATATATATATATATATATATTTACTCAGAAAAGTTGATTATTTTGTATTAACACTTATTTTGTATTTTCCTTATGTTACTAGTCTTTTTCCATTTTATTGACCTGTTTTGAAGGCAGAATTAATGATTTCATTTACTATTTAATGAAAAGCAATGAAACCCAAGAGTGGCATTTGAAAGCTTTATAGCTTTCCACACAGGGCATGTTTAGTGAAAGCTTACACTGAATTTCACTTCCTCCTGATAACACTGATTCAATGTTGAACAGAAAATAATAGTAAAAGTTAATTTATCATGACATTCTAGTTATGTATTGTTTACATGTAAATGGTATTAATACACTACTTCTTTATTTGACAGGTAAAGTGTATGCAGTGGGTGGACATGATGGGAATGAACACTTAGGTAGCATGGAGATGTTTGATCCTCTCACTAATAAGTGGATGATGAAGGCATCAATGAATACCAAGAGGTAGGTCACCATGCAGATTCCTTGTGAATTGATAGTGTGAAGTTAAAAGGACAAATGCTGAAAAATCTTATCTTGAAGGTTTTTTCTATTTTCAGAAACTTAGCCTTATCAAGCCCATTTTGCCAAAGCATCTAAAGCAATGTTTTTCACAATTTTTTTGTATTTAAGAATGGAATCATAGGGGGCTGGAGAGATGACTCGGGGGTTGAGCATTGGCTGCTCTTCCAGAGGACCTGGGTTCAATTCCCAGCACCCACATGGCAGCTCACATCTTTCTGTAACTCCAATTCTAGAGGATCTGGCACCCTCACACAGATGTACACAGGCAAAACACTAGTGCACATAGAATAAATAAATCATTAAAAAGTGGATGGAATCATAAGGTATGGAGAGATGGATGGCTCAGCAGTTAAGATGTGGGCTGCTCTTCCCAAGGTCCTGAGTTCTCTTTTGAGGCACCCACACTGAGCAGCTCACAATCACCAATAACTCCAGCTTCAAGCGGGTGTAAAACCCTCCTGTGGACTCCTGTAGCACCTGTACACACGTGTGCGCATGCACACACTCACACACTTTGAAACTGGTTTGACTGGACTTGACATTTAGTTCCGGTTATGCCCGTCACAGTCTTCTGTAGGAAGCCTTGCTGCTCTTTTCGATACTTTTTGTTTGAAATAACTTTAGATTTTTTTTTTCAGAAAAGTTGCAAATAGGTAGCATTCCGTTGTTGTGTTGTTGTTTGTTTTGTTTAATTTTATTTAAAATTCTTTTTGCATTCATTTATTTTTTTGGCTGAGGAGAAGAAAGGTGCATGCCTGCAGCAGGGGTGCACATGTGGGGAGAGCTCACAAGAGTTGGTTCTCCTTCCATCACGGGTTCCAGGGCTCAACTCAGGTCATCAAGCCCTGTGGCAAGTGCTTTTACCTGCCGAGCTACCTCCACAGCCCTTGGTGTTTTGCTTTGCTATGCTGTATCAAGACAGGATCTCGTGTTGTGCAGCTAGGCCTCATACTTGCTATGCAAGAACATGTAGAGTTACAGGTATCAGGTATTCTCAGCCGAAGATCACATTACCTCCTCTGCTAGACAGCTTAGTGCTAGTATCTCATAAGAAGAGGTCAGGGATGCTGCTGAACATCCTCCAATGCTGGAGGGCAGCCCTCAAGAGCAAAGAATTTCCTGGCTTGAAGTTCCAGTCATGTCAAGGTATATCCATATATCTTTCCCCCAGCTTCCTGTACCTTAACATTCCACAGTTATGGGTACAGTGTCAGAGGTAAGCATTGATGTGGTGCTGTCAGCTTTTGCCAGTTTCCCAATACGGTGTTTGTGCGTGTGTGCATGTGTGCGTGTGTGTGTGTGTGCGTGCGTGTGTGTGCACGTGCGTATGCATGCAGTCAAGTGCTCACTGGGGCCAGAGAGGGCATCAGATCCCCTGGAGCTAGAGTTACAGTAGTCTGTAGCGGGTTAACAGGACTGGCAGAAATCAAACTCCAGTCCTCCACAGGAGCAGCAAGTGCCCTTGACCACTGAGCCATCTCTTCAACCCCTCCTCATACATTCTTAGGTTTCTAATTTGTTTCACATACCTCCTTTACTAGCTAGTAGTTTGATACTGTATGAATAGAAATTGAAACACATATTTTTGTCTGATTCCTGACCTTAATCAAAATGCATTTAGTGTTTCTCTTAAATATGATACTATCTAGGACTAAGACTTATTATTATCTTAACAAAATAGCTCTCTTGGTTTCTGTTTTTTTTTCTTTACTGATTTTAAAATATATTAAGTTCTCATCTATAATAAATTGAACTATATTTTGATTGTCTGAAGGGAAAATTGTTAATTACATGATTCAGTAATTAAGCCTCTTGTAAATTTTTATTAATAATTTGAATAGTAAGTTCCAACATCCTGAGATGAAAGAGCAACTAAAGTCATGTCACCATAACAGGATTCAGAAAGGCAGTAGGCTTGGGGACATTGCTCTGTGACACAGTGCTTACTTAACATGCCTGCCTGCGGTCCTGAGTGGAATTCCCCAAGTACCACAGAGTGACAGCCAGCAACCAGCAGCAGCAAAACCAAGCAGACCAAATGTTCTATAGACAAAACCCTCTAAAAAGTGTCAGACCAGGTTTTATAGTAAAACCTAAAATATATCAGTTATAACAGGACTATGAGGTGGGATGTTTTGTGCAGAGTAAAGTATTGACTTGTGCAAGTGTGAGACATAGACCATAAAGGAAAGGAATTGAGTGTTCATACTACAGTGTTCTACACTAAAGGGGTTGGATAAAGTATTCACACTACAGCGCCCTACACTAAAGGGGTTGGATAGAGTGTTCACACTGCAGTGTCCTACATTAAAGGGATGGGCCAGAGTATTCACACTGCAGTGTCCTACACTAAAGGGGTGAGACAGAGTGTTCACACTGCAGTGTCCTACACTAAAGGGATGGGACAGAATATTCACACTACAGTGTCCTACACTTAAGGGGTGGGATATAGTGTTCACACTGCAGTGTCCTACATTAAAGGGGTTTGATAGAGTATTCACACTGCAGTGTCCTACATTAAAGGGATGGGACAGAGTATTCACACTGCAGTGTCCTACACTAAAGGGGTGAGACAGAGTGTTCACACTGCAGTGTCCTACACTAAAGGGGTGAGACAGTATTCACACTGCAGTGTCCTACACTAAAGGGGTGAGACAGAGTATTCACACTGCAGTGTCCTACACTTAAGGGGTGGGATACAGTGTTCACACTGCAGTGTCCTACACTTAAGGGGTTTGATAGAGTATTCACACTGCAGTGTCCTACATTAAAGGGGTGAGACAGAGTGTTTACAGTACAGTTGCCCACATTCAGAGAACAGAAGAGAGCTTGGGGATTATAGTCATACTGCTATTTATGTTATGTTTTTCATATGATGATAGCAGCGCTGTTCTTTATCCTGGTCTCTATCAACTTTTAAACTTTTACTTTAGGTGCATGTTTTGCAGTTTTGCATTTAATATAATCTGTTTATACAGAAATATATGTTTATAATTTGAAAATAAAGTATATGCAGGGATGCACAAAAAGTTGAATGATGTAAACACAGGGATAATTGCTTAGGCTACATTAAGGAAAGACTAGCCAGTTAGGAATACAGGCAAGAACATGCTGTGTGACAGTAGTTGAATGTTGTGTATCCATGTTGACATGTTATTTATGATTTATTAAAGCTTGCCTGATGATTCAGAAAGCAAAGTCAGCCACAAGCTAGGAGGTGGTGATACACACTTTTAATCCTAGGACTCAAGAAAGAGGTAGATGGATTTCTGTGAGTTAAAGGCCACACTGACTACACGAAATTGATCCATTCCTAAAGAGAAACAGCTCACACATAACTGATCTCAGCACTTGGGATCACATGCCTTTAATCCCAGGACTCCTAAGAAAAGACAGGAGCAAGGTCTCAGTATAAGACTGAGATTAGGATCACTCCAGCCCTGTTAGAGGTAAGAGCTCTCTGGTAGCTTGACTGCTTTACTTCCCTGATCTTCAGCTTGAACCCCAATATCTGTACAGGGTCCTTTTATTTGTCGTGTTTCATGTGGGAATAGAGAATTGCAGACCAAGAAGCTTACGGAGTGGCAAAGCAGACGTCTACAGTTCTAGTGTTACCAGGGAAACGGGAGGTGGGATCCAAAGCGAACTTTAAGTGAAGGGTTTACCCTCAGAGGCCTCTAAGACTACTGTAGCAGTTTAGAATAGCTCAGCCTTTGGTGGCTATAACATGTCCTTTTTTCTTGTCCATATAACAGAGAGTTAACTTTCAGTGGGGACTAAGTCTTCCTTTCAAAGGAAGCATAAACGATCTTTAGAAATAAAGCAGTTCATACAAAGCATGTGGTAGGAAAGTGAATGTTCTTTGGACTGTGTTTTAATAAAAGAGCTCATGGATTCAGGACTGGAGTTGGCCTTTTGAATCCACAGCAGACTGCTCACTTAACCCAGTAACTCCTCAAATTATGTAACTGTCTGTTTGGTAGTTTAACACTTTGGGTTTCTTTATACTGTTTTGCTGGGTTTTCTATTATTATTTGTTCTGAGTTTAGGCTTAGCATGTAGCTTAGGGGTTGAATGCATTCCTGTTAGATGCAAGGCTCTGGGTTCAACCCTCAGAAAAAAAATTACGTAAAAGACAGAAAAGCAGAGCTTAACCCAAGTTTCCAGCGGCCTGTGTAGGCCAGGCACTGTACTGAGTCATGGGCCTGCACTCCTGCTCGGAAAGGTTAACACGCTAAAACACTGTTGCTTTGATGATTATCCTCAGAAGTGGTTTACATTGATACAAATTCCTTCTTTTTCCTGAAATGAAACATGCTTTACTGCTTCTTTGCAGGCGAGGAATTGCTTTGGCCTCCTTAGGGGGCCCAATATATGCAATTGGAGGGTTAGATGACAATACTTGCTTCAGTGATGTGGAGAGATACGACATTGAATCTGACCAGTGGAGTACAGTGGCACCAATGAACACTCCCCGTGGAGGGGTTGGCTCTGTGGCTTTAGTGGTAAGTTACACAACTACTTCCCATGGAGAGGCACCAATCATATCCACCATCAACATGGAATAATAGACATCAGCTGCCACAGGATTGATTATACACCAAACTGCTCACGAAACATGGACTTCACCACAATCTGCTCAGCTGTTAGGCTGTGGATAAACCCTTTAAAATCTGATGCATGTTTTCCTTCCTCCAGAACCATGTTTATGCAGTGGGCGGCAATGACGGAGTGGCCTCCTTGTCCAGTGTGGAAAGGTATCATCCCCATCTGGATAAGTGGATAGAAGTCAAGGAAATGGGTCAACGAAGAGCAGGCAATGGAGTTAGTGAACTCCACGGCTGCTTGTATGTTGTCGGTGAGTCCATGTCATCTAATTTAATATATGAAGGCATATGATGACAAATGCCTTAATATAATACAGTGACAAACGATTATCACTTGTGATCTTTAGGAGAATCGGTCCTGAGATGTGCTTTTGAGTCCTTAAAGTTGACATTAATGCTTTTTGATTTAAATTTTCATAGTTAAAACTTCTACCCGATGTGGTGGCAGTGCACCCATTTAATCCCAGCACTCAGGAGGCAGAAGCAAGAGGGTCTCTGTGAGTTTGAGGTCACCCTGATCTACATAGTGAGGTCCAGGCAAGCCAGGGCTATATAATATTACTCTGTCTCAAAAAAACAAAATCCAAAAAGCAAAACTCAGATTATATCTGGAGTAGGGGTGGCATTTGAATGAGATATGTATTTGTAAATGTAGAAACATAAAGGCACTTTGCTAAAACCAACCCTAAAAGGCCCAAAGACCTGTTTTCCTTCTACTTTGTTTCAAAGCCAATTACAATATCAAGAAAGCCAGTAGCTTTTCCCTATGAAGTATGTGTTTTTCTGTTGCTTTTTGACTGATGAAGTACTGGATTAGATTGACTTCTGGAGCTAGCTGTGCTCTCTGATTCCTAGCATACATGGGAACAGTCCAGATGGATGGAAAGGGGGCAGCCAGGTCTTAAATGACTGTGAACCAGGACGAGAATGCCCCCTGTCAGAACTGTCAGGAGTTAGAGACAGTGTAGTCTAAGCATCTTCAGTGTGCCCGGCACAGGCCTTGCTTTGTAATTACTAATCTTCCTTACAGAGAGGCAGTTAGCATCCTGGACACTAAAGTATACTGTTGGGTTATGTAATTTACAGCTCTTGGCAGAAGAGTGGGTTGTTATTAGTGGTCAGCATTTGCAAGTAGAAGCAATGCTGCGTTTCTGTGCTCTTGCATGAAAAAGAAGGAAATACAGTTAACCTCAACCTCACCTCCTTCACACTAGTCATTTGCAGAGACAGTGGCGTGCCTAGACAGTGATAGAAGTAGAGGTTGGATTTGAGTGTGTGGAAACCAGCGTTGTTCTTACAATATATGGTTGCAGCTGTTCACATTTCCAGACTAACCTTAGACAGGTCACTACCATGTGTCACATGGCCACAGGAGTGTCATTTTGCTGTTTCTTATTAAGTCTTTGGGACCTTTATAGCTAAAACATATAAGAAGAACATCTCAGATTGAACATTAAAGCAACCCTCTTGGGAACTGGGGCAGCTCAGTGGTAAAGCTCTTGCCTAGATGCAGAGGTCCTGGTTTCAGTCCTGAGCACTGAGAACTACGACAAACAACCTCTTGGACATCCATAACCTAAGGTACAACTGATGTGAATAACCACAGTATGAGGTGTAGGTGTGTAACAGCCTGACTGCATCTGCCTTATCTCTGCCTTGACCTTTTCCTTCATCCTTGTTGAGCTACGTCCTCAGCACCGATTCTTTCTTATTACCTAGGAGGATTACATGGTGCCAATCAGAAAGAAGGCTACAGAGAATGTAACTCTAAAGACCTCACCTTCCACTTTAACATGAGCAGTGATGGCATTTTTATTGCAAGGAAAAGAATTGCAGTTGTGATGAGACTGCAATATGCATTTGCCCAAAATACATCTGGTTATGTACATAAAATTAGTGAATTTATTTCATTTCAAGTGATATAATTAAATTAACCTGTTAGAAGAGATTTAATTGGCTGGGTAGGGGTGGCACATGCCTTTAATCCCAGCACTCAGGAGGCAGAGGCAGGTGAATCTGAGTTTAAGGCCAGCCTGGTCTACAAAGTGAATTCCAGGACAGCCTGAGCTACATAGACAACTCCTGCATCAAAATAAATAAATAAATAAATAAATAAATAAAAGGTTTACTTGATTTTTTAGAGCTGACCCTTTTTTAGATTTTTTTAATTGATTCTTGATCCTGATCCCAAACCTTCATATCTGTCCTCTACCCTTGCAACCTCTCCCCCACCCAAAAAATAAATAAAATTTAAAACAAACATACAAAAAAGTCTCAGAGTGAACCTGTAGTGTAACACAGAGTCACAGAATGTCTCTTTAGACAATACATCTTTACTTGTAAGTGTTCCGTGTTCATCGCAATGAGCCATTGGTCTGGTTAGAGGTCTCTGGCTTGTACTGTACTCTTGATACTGGGTTCTCACTGGGGCTCCTCTTGGATATCCTGTTGTTGTTCTGTGTCATGGAGATCCTGCTGCTTTGGATCTGTGGGATGGGCCCTTTCTCATGCTCTAGCAGGTCATACATGGTAGATACTGGGGTGGGCCAACTCCTAGCCCTGGTTCTGGGCTTGGGTGACAGCTGGGTTGGTCAGCCCACCAGTTGTCCCTCATTCACACCACCAGGGCGAGCTCTCCAGCACTGCTGTGGCTAGCTCACCCTCTACAGCAGGCAGCAAGGAGCTGGACCAATTCTCCTGCTCTCAACACCTGCAGGGGCCAGTACCTGCACCCATACCACCAAGGGCAGCTCTACTGTTTTACCTAGGGGAAGTGCAGGGCCTACTCTCCAAGTGCTGCAGTCGCTGCGGTGCAGGTCTGCTCTCCCAAATGCTGCAGCTGCTGAGGTGCAGGTCTGCTCTCCCAAATGCTGCAGCTGCTGAGGTGCAGGTCTGCTCTCCCAAGTGCTGCAGCTGCTGAGGTGCAGGCCTGCTCTCCCACTCTCGCTGCACCCAAGGCCAGTGAAGCTGAGCTTATTTTTTTTTTTTAAAGAAATGGTCACAGTAGCAACACTTCCTCCTATCAGGAAAACAGGTTGAGTCATTAAAGAGAACTGCTGCTCACTTGGGGACCTGTGAGGGGACCTGGACAGGATGGAGGTAACTGTCTAGGCATCACTTGGGAATGTGCTAAGTCATGCTGTATGGTATTGAAGAGACCTTACCCACAGACCACGGGACGGGAAGAAGACACAGATTTGGCAAAGTGGATGAGGAGTCAGCCATAGCTCACCAGCTCAGCAGTTGTGCTGGCAAGTATGGTTTTAAGAAGAGCCCTGGAAAACTTGCACCTTTCTCTGGTGAGGTTTAGTATTTCTCAGGCCTCCCTGCTACTTAGATGGCACACAGAGAGGAAAACCCCATCCGTCTTGCTCCTAGGAATCTAGGTCAGATTATGAAATGCTGATCTCTCCCCATAAATTTCCTACTTTTCTACAGCAGCTCCACTCTACTGTAGGCATGGAGGTGTACACCCACAATCCCAGCACCGAGAAGACTCAGGCTTCTCAGGTTTTGAAACCCATTCTCAAAACCAAGAGGAAAACTATCCATGCCTACTGCCAAAGTACACTGTGACCAAACAGAGACGGATTATAGAAAATTGTAGTTGGTGGTAGCTAGCTATTGGGGTAATTGTTTCCTTTTTTCTGTAAATAATTCTTTAAGAGCTTTAAAAGCATGCAGTGATGGTGCACACTTTTAATCCCAGCTCTCGGGAGGCAGAGGCAGGCAGATCACTGTGAGTTCAAGATCAGCCTTGTCTACAGCTTGAGTTCCAGGACAACAAAACAAGAAAATCTTGAGGGTTTTGTTTTTTGTTTGTTTGAGACAGGGTCTCTCTACATAGTCCTGGCTGTCCTGGAACTCACTATGTAGAGCAGGCTAGCCTCAAACTCAGGGATCTTCAGGGCCTGCCTCTGCCTCCCAAGTGCTGGGATTAAAGGCACATGCTCAACCAGGCCCAGAAAAAGCTTGAGTTTTATAAGCTGTTGAGTTGAGCTTTTGTTGTCAGTTTTTATGAAATGCAGTTCCATTTTTTTAAAGATTTATTTATTACATATACAGCATTCTGCCTACATGCCAGAAGAGGACACCAGATTGAATTGTAGATGGTTGTGAGCCACCATGTGGTTGCTGGGAATTGAACTCAGGACCCCTGGAAGAGGAGTCAGTGCTCTTAACCTCTGAGCCATCTCTCCAGCCCAATGCAGTTCCATTTTAAAGATGTTTCTTTTGTAGGTGGTTTTGATGATAACTCCCCTTTGAGCTCCGTTGAACGATATGACCCTCGAAGCAACAAGTGGGATTATGTGGCAGCACTTACCACTCCCAGAGGTGGAGTAGGGATCGCAACAGTGATGGGCAAAATCTTTGCAGTTGGTGGTCATAACGGCAATGCATACCTCAACACTGTGGAAGCATTTGATCCAGTGCTGAATAAGTAAGTAACGCACTCCTCCTCTTTTGCGAATCGCGTCACTCCGCGGTATTAAGGCTGAGCTCTCAGATTAACCTCAGGGATCAATCTCCCTGGGTAATACCCGAGACCACAGGTAGAATCAAACTCAACATGTATAGTTCTGCTTCTCCTGTCCATGCATGCTTAAGATAAGGTCCAGTGCATAAATTAGCACGGTAAAAGGCTAACAATTACTAATAAAATGGAGCATGTTTCATAGTTTACTTAAGTAAAATTTCCAGCATCACTGTTCTTATGCTTTAGCACCTTATTAAGTATTTACAAAGGTTATCTGAGCAAAATAACTTAAAGCCATGACAGTTGGTCCAGCTCTGCAGTGACCAGTGAGTAGGTAAGTGGTGTCTATGGAAGTGACACACCACTCCGGTTAGCCTAGGCAAGGCAGAACAGCACAGCATTGAAAGCTCACAGAGTTGCTTATTTCCAGAATGTCCACCTAATATGCGTTACTGTAGGTAATTGAAGCTGGGGAAAGCAAACTTGAGATAATGGAGGAATGCAGTGTTTCAAATATAAAATCCTCTGGAAACTTGCTGTCTTGTAAACCAGCCCCACAGTCCCAAGTGTTGTCTTTGGGCGGGATCCCTGTGCTCTGAGGTGACTGTCTTGTTCTGTCTTTCCAGGTGGGAGCTGGTTGGACCTGTGTCTCACTGCAGAGCTGGTGCCGGTGTAGCCGTGTGTGACTGTTTAACCAGCCAGATCCGAGATGTAGGTCATGGGTCCACTAATGTGGTTGACTGCATGTGACTTAAGTCCCAGCAGCAACAATGCAACCACTGCTGACGGGTGGGAAGACAGCCGGCACTTTGATTGATTGTGATTACCACTGCTGGCGGGTGGGAAGACAGCCGGCACTTTGATTGTGATTACCACTGCTGGCGGGTGGGAAGACAGCCGGCACTTTGAGTGTGATTACCACTGCTGGCGGGTGGGAAGACAGCCGGCACTTTGAGTGTGATTACCACAGCTGACGGGTGGGAAGACAGCCGGCACTTTGATTGATTGTGATTACCACTGCTGGCCTGTTGAATGTTAGCTGTTGGGTTGTAAGCTCACCTTGTGGACCGATAGCTAGGGAACTGTTAGTCATAGCGCTAAGTGTGTGTGGCACTTCCTGCTCTAGAAATAATAAAGTAGGCAGGAAGTAGTCTATCTCTGAACCCGTTCTTGTTCTGAAAAAGTTTCATGTAGTGCCAAACCTCAAAATAGCTGTTTATTTTGATGAATAAAATGTAATTTATTGAATTTTATCTGTTCTTTTTCCTGAAGCTAGGACTTCAGGCTGTAGATTTTTCCCAGGAGGGATAAGTCCTCTCATCACCATGGGGACTTGAGGCCTGTTCCCTTAGGATCACTTTACATGGTGCTGATGAATTAGGTTTGCCTTTTGTCTCTAGACGATGACTTTCAGTTCTCGAGTATTTATGAAGTGGGAAAATGTGTGTTTCTGAGGCATTCTTGAAACCTGTCAGTGTCTGAAAAAATCCCTTCGTTTCCATTTGGAGTTTTAGAACTACAGAAGGCAACCGTGCTGGCCCTGCAAGTGAGGTGGCTGACAGGGCTGCTGCTTTTCCTTTTCTCCTCATCGTAGTAACGGCTTTAGATTAGTCTAGTGCCTGATGGAGAGACTTCGAAAAGGGATTGTGTGAACTCGAGACCACCTAGCGAAGGAAATCTAAAGGTCCCTTTATCTTTGTTCTTCAGCTTAGTTGTTGGATTTTGGTCCCAGGACCCATTTTCTTCTTGTTATTTGTCACTGTCTTGGTTTTTCTAATTGTACAAAGCTGGATTTATTTATTATTAGGAAATGAATGCATTTTTACAAAAGCCCTTTATGCAGTATAACTTGATTATTAGTTTAAGTTTGTCAATAAAATACGTTGTTGGTAAAAACAGAAAATGGATACCAGTTCTTTTCATTATTTAATATCCCCTAATGTATTTATTGAAATTTAATTGACTATTTCTACAAATATTCTGAAGCACAGCATATTGATAATCTCACTGTGACATAACTGCTCTTTATTGTTTTTGTTTATATGTATATATGTGTGACACATATGTATGGGCATGTGTACAGGTATTCACATTCATATACAGTTACAGGATTAACATCAAAGACTTTCTAGATTGCTGTCCATCTTACTGAGGTAGACTCAGTTGAACCCAGAGCTCACCTATACATCTAGCCTGCCCCAGACATCCCCTTCTTAGTTCCAGAGAGCTGCAATTATAGGCAACTCGCTTCACCCACCTGGAATTCATGTGAGGAATGGGGATGTGAACTCTGGCCCAGTGCCTACCATACATATCAAACCCAAAACAAACCCAAGGGCTCAAACTGGCATCATCGCCTTTCACCCAGCAAACCTTGAAGTCTCCATATTAGGCTACTTTCTTTGTTTCCTACTGTCTGGTTGTTTTGTATGGAGAATGGTCCATGACAGCAGTGGTTTCTGTTTCTAAGTATGCAGCAAGTGGGAAAAAAAAGACTAACTAGCAAGCAGCAGAAAGACAGGAGAACATCACATCAGACGCTCACACCACCCAGCCACCCATACGGAGGGTCCCAGGCTTTCTCGTTAGCTGTTCCCCCACAGCCGTTTTTGTATCGTGAGATAAGCAGTAGCTGAGTGTCTTGCATTAGGAAGGTGTCTAGGATGATTTGCCTTCCATGTTCAAGGCAGCAGTCTTTTTATTTTTAGAGTTTACCTGCCTGTTCTCGACACCATAGCATTTTAACTCATGGCCTGTTGTGCTGCTCTCCCTTTCTCAGGGGTCAGAGGTGCACGGGGTCACCCACCCCTGGACGAGGGGTTTTGAAGGACTCTGATGAGGTAAACAGATTTGGGTCCGAAGTGGGAGGAATGGCAACTTGAATTCCAGAGCCAGCGTCTCGGTGAGGTTAAACAGCACACGGTGGCTTGCTGGTATACTGTGTATTGTGTAAGCCTCTGAGCAGGTTTCGCTGCGTCAGTGTTCTCTAGTATAGCGAGCTATATTTCAGCTAGCCCTTGAAGCATTTACCCATCACACTTGGCAGACTAGCTACATCTAGCTGAATGTGAAAGATGGCTTGAAACATGGCTGCTGTCAGTTTCTCATCTAATAGATTGCTGGATACTAGCATGCGTGTTTTTATTGTCAGGGCTAAGGATCTTAATATAGTATTTGATTAGAGTATTTCTTCTTCTGTGTAGCAGTCTGTTATATGTAGAGTCTGTGTACTCCATTTCTGACGTTTACTAGCGAGAGGTCATCTAACATGCTGACTGAACCCTTGCACCTGTGCAGTATGAGGTCCTCATGACAGGATTTGAGGTGAAGGGAGCATGGGCAGTCAGAAGCATAGCCTGAGGGCTGACAACCGTGGAAGAAGACTAGCAGGGCCGGCCAGGAGGTGGTCTCTCTATAGAAGAAGACATGCTCTGAGGAATGAGTAGGGGACAAGAAATACGTGCTTAATGACAAGTGCGTGCACAGAAACGAGGGATGACTCCTGTGAGACTCCTCACCGTCACCTCAGGTGGGAGCAGTACCTACCAAAAAGTGCTGTGAAACAGCTGAATATGGAGATTAGAAGTGGAGAATGCACCAGGAAAAAAAATTTAAGACACGGTCTCTATGTAGCCCTGGCTGTCCTGGAACTCACTCTGTGGACCAAGCTGACCTCATACTCAGAGATCCACCTGCCTCTGCCTCCTGGGTGCTTCGATTAAAGGCACGGGTCACCACCACCTAGCAGGAGTGAATACACACACACATACACACACACATACATTACACACACACACACAAATACTTATGAGATCTCACTTTGTGTTGCCTAGGCTGGCCTTGAAAACTAGGGCTCAAGTGATGCCCTTGCCTCCACCCCCCATGAAGCTGGGTCTGTTGCACTGAACCCAGCCTCTTGTGTATTAGTTCTTCAAGACACATGTCTAGGCTCCTCTGTGTGGCTCCCCCATTTGGTCACTAAAGCCACACTTTACTGTATTGATACTCTGACTTTCTAAACAAATTAGCACTGTCTTTTTCTTTCCCTGTTTTATGTAACTAATGGCTTATTTTTTTTTAATGTTTAAGTAGATGTTCTGCTTTACTCCTAAGGAGTATAATTCATTTCATTAATTCCCAGGTGAACTATGAACTTACAGGGCTGTTAAATGCCTACATAAGACATTGTTGAGGTATACAAAATGATTTTATAAGTGATAAAATTGAGAATTTTCTTTGTTGCTTCTGTTTCTCTATGACTGAAAAATAAGTAAGTATTTAGTATCTCTTCATGGTGTGTTCTCGAGGAATGTTTCAGTGGGCTCTCATACCAGGATTCAAGGGGTAGTAGATTACAGGTAAATCTGTTTGAGTAGGAGAGAGCCACATGGCGATGGGAGACATTGAAGAGGGAAGCTAACCCAATGGAAGGCTGTAAGACAAGCCTGTGGACGCTTACCATCTCATAGTCTAGTTAAAAACTTTCAGTGGAGGGCTAGCAGACTACATGCAATATAAAAGAGGACACTGTCTGCGGGTTCATAGATTAAGTGGGGGCTGGACAGGATGGGGAGGGGAGAAAAGGGAGAGACAGGGTAGTGGGTGAAATAACCAAAACTGAAATAGGAAAATGCCTTATGCAAACTATGCAGTTAATCTTAAAATGTAATTTTAAAAGTTTGAATGGAATTGCCCTGCATGGGTGGACAGTTCTGCTCCAAAAAGAAAACCACAGTGCAGGATGCCCCCCCCGCCTCCTCGTTACTAGCAGTGAGCATTAGAGGCTCCCAAACAGTGCAGGTGGAGGCTGTGCTTTTGCCTTTACTCATGTGTATACATGTGTGCGTTGCTTGCCAGGGTATTCCTCAAGCAATGGGACATGAAACAGACAAATTTTACATATAATGGTCACCTTAAAATATTTGTAAATATTAATTACATTTTCCCTTGGTCTCTGACTTTGGAAGTATGTGAGTGTTCTTGAAGAGTCTGATGTTTCATGTTACTTTAGTTTTATTATAGCAAACTAGTAAGGTATTCTCTTTGACTGTCTGAAATTTCCTATTCCTTTTCCGTGTCCTATGGATGCTGTATATGTACACTGCGGTTTGGTTGTTGTTCATTTCAAGCAGTGTAGTTTGAAATGTCTGCTGGGTTTTATTTGTTTGCAGTTCTGGGAATCAGATCTAGGGCCTTGCTTATTACCCTCCTAGTGAGCCTCATCTTCACCTTGGGTTCTGAGACAAGTGCTCTGTGGTTGAGGCTGCCCTAAACTGTGTGATCGTGCCTTGGCCTCCCAGGAGCTGAGTTACAGTGTGAACCAACTTCCCCAGCCCTGCACGATCTTAGACCATTGTTTAGTATTAATAGTGCCCACAAATCTGTAGCTGTTTCGTTATTGCCTTAGTTCCCTGTTGTACCCTGCTGTTAAAGGGTGCAATACCATACCGGCTCCAGCTGGTTCCTCAAGTCCTAGGACTCTGGTTTCCGTGCCTGGTGAATTAGTGCAGCTGTGTACACTGAACAACTTTTGTACCTCGGTTGCTGTGGTTCTAGAGTCTCTGTGAAGGATTCTGTATCTTCCTTGCTCTGACAGTATTGTGTGGGTGGGGGTGGTGTTAAAGGAATTCAGAAACGTTGCCAATGTTATCACTATTGTTCCAGAAACCCCCTTTGCTCAGGCTAGTATTGAGTTCACTGTGGCAGCCTTGAACTTGCTGCAGTCCTCCTGCCTCAGCATCCCCACTGCTTGAATTAGAGGCATGCACCATCACACCAAACTGTCAAGGCCCTTGTCTTGCAAGGTGTTGTCAACAGAGTGTTGCCGCCACCCGTCTGGAATCCAGAGGGGAAAAGTACTCTTAAGTGATGACTCACTCAAACCTTTCTCTCACTCAGCACCACATTCCTGTGAGTTTGCTGAGCAGACTGAGTCTTTAAATACAGGGTCTCACTATGCAGCCCTGATTGGTCTGGAACTCACTATTGGAGACTAAGCTAGCCTCAGATTCATAGAGATCACCTGTGTCTGCCTCCTGAATCCTGAGATTAAAGGTGACGGCTACCACCCCTGGCTTCATGAACTTCTTGATCAAATACTTATCATTCCTAAAGTTTTTCAAGTGATTTTAATGATAAAAAAAATTCAGGACCAGTATGATGACTCCTAGTGGCCACTAGGAGTTTTTCTTTTCCCTGAATGTCCCAAGTTTGTAAGATGTTGCATTATACTTGACTTTTAGAAAGCTAACAGTATCAGTGTAGAGTAGCAGAGGTCGCACTGAAATGCTGTGAGCCCTCAGAAATGGCCTTGGTGCACATATAGACTCAGAAAGGAATTAGGACTGGGACTTTGTAACTGTTTAAGAACAAACTTTTCTGTTCAGTTACTGTTCAGTTAACAAATGTAGCAAAGCCCTTACCCTGACACCCTTCCTCTCCCCGCTCAACGGTTGGTCAACAGCAGTCTGGGAACCAGAGTCAAGGCTTACTAGGCCAGTTTCGTCTGTCTGTCTTCTCTCATTCATCATCCCTGGTCTAGTACAGGGCTTTGGGGGTCAGCTTTGCTTTTGTAAGTGACTTCGTGACACTACAGAATCGTGCTTGGCTCTTCATAATCCAAACTTGGGGTGCCTCCTCACCCCCCAGAATCACCCGAGCCCTCCCTTTGCTGGGGTCCTGCCTCTGGCTTACGTCACTTGGCCTCATGCACACTGTCACACGTATACCAATGTCTTCCATTACACACACACACATCTTGCTGATGGCATGGTGGCTTCCATGAGCATTGCTGTCTCTGAGTGATGATGAAACTGGGTTTTCCCCTTTCTTGACCATGCTTCTACAAGTAGAATTGTGGTGGGGGATGTCCTTCCATATGCTTTGAATATATGTTTTTCTTAT